CTGACCTTTCCCATGAATGCCTTTCGTCTCTGTCATCTTTGGGCTCTACATGGAGATGTAAACTAGCATAGAATTCATCAATTCTGGCTGCATATCACAGTGTCAGCCATCCCTAATGAGATTAATTGGTTTTAGCGCATGGAATTATGACAATGTATACCTCCAAGATCAGAAACACAGCCTTAATTAAAATCATATGTATATCTACTTTTTTTTTTTTAACAAAAGCAAATCCAGCATCATAGACTCTTTTCTGTTTGGGGTTTTGTTGACATCAGCAGTGGTATAGAAACTTGATCATGAAGGTTTGCTGTTATTACTACTTTGAATACAAACTTATGCTTCTCAGCCCTTGAAGTAGCTGATGAGGGGAGGAGCTAATCGTCTACTTGATTATTGGTTACACATATGGAATAAATCCAGTTTTAATGGTGTCTAATGAGCCTTTCATTTTCAAAACCTTACACAAAAACCTCTAATAGAAAGGGAAAGTAATATTTCAAAGGTCATCTTCACATTACTGAATGTCAACAATCTGTAATCAAGCCAATATATAGAGACAGTGATTACAGCCCAGTGTTCTTTAAATATGAAATAATTTTCTAAATTAGCCAACTGGCGTGAGCTGAGGTTCTTCAGGTTTGAGCTGACTTGAAATTTCTAATTAAAGTTTCTTACTGAAAAAACAGGCTCAGAGTTAAAGAGATTGTTCAAGGCAGTATTTTCACAACCCACAAGATGAAAAATGCTGTCCCTTCTCATTGCATGCACTATATTCTCATATGCGTTTGTAGTTTCGTGGACATGTGCAAATGGAAGACGAGGCCCCTGTCAATGTTTTTTCTCAACAGGAGATTGTAACGAGCAGTAGCTATGTGAGATGATTTTATTGGTCAGGAGGCCACTTCAAGAACTAGTGGACATACATCTTTTTAGAGCCAAATATCTGCCTGGTAGCAGATTTGGAAGTCAAGAATTTCAAGAGTCTCTAGTTAGAGATTGGCGTTCTGGGATGTGGGTGCTATTTGCTGTGTGAATGAAGATAACCCTGCCCCTAGACTACAGTGGAGATGTTCCTTTTCAGTCTGAGAGTAGCTGCTAGTCCATATGACTCTTGTCTGAATTAGAAATAGGGGAATTCTGTACAACATTTTCCTTCTGTCACAGAGTTAGAGTAAGAAATGGGACGGCAATCATCGTCTGAATGTGTCATTTCCTAACTTACTGTCTTACCATGGCATCACAATCTCCTTAGAGGGCTCTTTTTGAGTTTGGTTGTGCTTAGGGGTCTGATTTGATCATCTGTGTAGGGTCTGCGGTTGTCTATTTTGTGTCTATATTTGAATCTTAGACAACTTAGACCCGGAGACCTAATGATGGGTTGATTGTTCTACAGCCATTCACAAAGCTATTGCTAGGTAGCTGTGAAGGAATTGATTGGTAGCCTTAACTGAGCAGTTGGTTGCCAAAATAGACCTTAGATCTCAGACTGCATCTTGCATTATAAGGAACCATACACAGAAAACTTCTCTGATCAAACCCAGGGAGACACACCTAATGGCTTTCGCTTACTTGAGCTTAGCTGTTCATTTACAAGGTAAGATGCACGCAGAATAGGGTGGGGAAACATGGAAAATAATCTTAAGAAGAAGGATAAAAGCCATCCATTTGCCAACACACCCAGAACATCCAAGTTGGGCGCATTTTGTAGTAATCTTTTGTAAGTGTAAGTGTTAATTTATAGTTAAAGCATTTTCATTTCACTGAACTTACAAGCATAGGGGTAAAACTGCCTCAAGGAGAGGAAATATTTGTGCTGAATTGCAGGATTATTCTCATCATGAACGATAAGGATTGCTTTCAAGTTCCATGTGCATGGACGCCATTAGAGAAGCACACAGCACCTTCTTTCTTTCTCAAACTGTCCTCAGTGTGAAGAGTTCATTCAGGTGTGTGTGACACATGTTGGGTGGTAGTACTGCCCTGCCCAAGCTGTTATCAATCATTTAGTGGCAAAATTTAACTGGTTTGGGGCTTATGGCTTCTTCGAGTGAATTGTTTTGAAGAGGGTGAGTAGAAAGTATGCCCATACTCGAAATTGTTCTCCTCCTGCCTTCATTCATATAGCTCAGTGAAGTTAAAGCCACCATCTTTTCCCATGAAAATACTATAATGCTATTCCCTGGCTTCTGGCTTTGCTTCTTGTTTTGTTGGTTCCTTTTGTTGGTTTGTTTTCTAGACTATGGAATCAAACCCAGGTCCTTGCATATCAAGCCAAGAACTCTACCACTGAATTATACCTTAGCGTTCACCTTCTTCATCACAAGATATCATTTGAGATCAGCTGGAGTTTCATTCCCTTATAGATCACTTTTGGTTGTCATTTTCAGTCTGGCTGCTCATTTTTTTCCCTCCACTCTTGCTATTTATTGTTGATCAGGATGTTATAAGCTACAACTCTTTTTTCATTGATTTACTTGAAATCGAGCAATCTCCCACTCCTTTTAAAAAATGGCCTCTGTTTATAATAAAAGCAATGAATTTGGATCTAACTAGACATTTAAGTGGATAGTTAATGAGACACGCTTCAAACTGATAACCTGCATACAATTTTATGTCTGATCATGAGAGCAGTCTGATGAGTCCAGCGTGCATCGAGGATCCCACGAATCTTCTAGGGGAGCTCATTTCACTTAATCACTTGTGCCCAAACAATGCAGCTTTCTTTCTGAGCAGAGGATCTGAGGCAACTGTGGAAGAGCGTAGATTCAGGGCCTTCCCAGGTCTAGGTAAGCACCCATGGAGTTGGCCCCGGAATGGAATCTACCCTAAAAAAAGGTCTTGCTAGGAACTAGGCTTCAGGCTTGGCATGTTCTAAACCACAGGCTCATTTTAAACCTAAGTGTAGGCCACAGGTGATTCCAAGTAAAATAAACTGAGCTCCAGGATTTTGCTCTAAGTCTTCATTTAGAGAGAACTTTATAAAAATAGAGAGTTGTGGGCAGAGACCTCGCAGCTATGAATTCAGAGTTATTTGGAGCACCTCCTTATCCTTAAGCCTGAAGCCTATCTGACCTGGGGAAACAAACCCTTCAACTTCCTTATCTCTTGTTTTATGCCATTATCCACCTTCTACTACTGAAAAAGTAGTTAGCTTCGTCAGCATTCATCTTCTGTTCAGGCTAAATTTATTTTTATGTGAAATAGAAATCAGGAAAACACCAAAATTATTTTAAGCAAAATATCAAAATTGAAATAAACCAACATATGTTAGTGGAACATGTATAACTAACTCTCAATCAAAAATAAGTGCAACTTTCATACATTTCTTAAAATAACCCCAGCGTGCAAAATCTGAACAACTTAAATAGCTGGGAGTTGTGACATGTTTGATTATTCTCTCTACTTAGTTCAGCTTTTACTTGAAAATGATCATTCCAGCCACTAAAAGCTAGCCATCTCTGTATCATCCTGTCATAAACAATATCCTACCCTGTCTATTGTAGTAATCCCAGCTAGTTTTATGTAAAAACCATTCAGATCTTGTCCCCTTACCTTACATGTATTCCTACTCCATTCCCTCCTCCTACATTCCTAAGAATGGAGGTTTCATGGGGTGATAGGTATTTCTTATTTGTTGTTGTTGTGCTGTGGAGCAAACCTAGGGCCTTTCAAAACCTAGGCAAAAGAGCTCTCACTGAGCTACATTCCCAGACTAAGGTTGTTTGAAATATATGTGCTTTGGCCTGGTAGGTTTTTCCATATTTCTAACTTATCCTTTTCTTGGGAACTTAAATTAGATAGAAAGGATTAGAGGAGCAAATGTTCTTAAAAGATAAAACCCATCTCATCTTTAATGCTCTTTTTAACACATTTTCTTTATTAGACCATCATGTTAAGGGTTAGAATCATTTAACCCCATAATAATAGATAATATTTTTCCCATAGAATAAATTAAGTAAATGTTAAGGTGAGTAAATTTTATTGAGAAATGAAGGACACATTCATTGAAAACTTCAGCTTTTTATTTTAAGTAACACCCTATAGGAATTAGGTACCACAGTTACAAGAATAAAATTAATTTTGTACTATATTTGGAAAATGATAGAACGGTAAATGAGTTCCCATCTTCCAGTTCCATTTTAAGAGTATGTTAAAAAACAAGTATCTCATTAAACTTGGTCTCTCACTAGATGTTAATATGATTTCTCTTTAGGGAGTCAAGAAAAGTCCTAGGGTAGAAGTGGAGGCGTGGCTCAAGTGATAGAGTGCCAACTGTGAGTGGAAAAGCTAAGAGGGGGTGCAAGGTCTCAAGGGCAAGCATAGTACCAGTAGAAAAGAAAAAGCGAGAGGGAGGGAGGGAAGGAGGAAGGAAGGAAGGAAGGAAGGAAGGAAGGAAGGAAAGAGATAGAGAAAGAAAACTAAGGAAAACCCTTTAGAAGTATAAATATACAAAGATTTGTCTGATCATATCTAGTAGAAGCTTCCTTCATCCTTAACTCTTACTCTTAGATAATAACTCTCTCTCTCTCTCTCTCTCTCTCTCTCTCTCTCTCTCTCTCTCTCATATATCTATCTGATTTTTCCTCTTAGTATATTAGTTGTCAAAAAGGTTTTCTTTTTTCCTGGTTTATTCAATTTCAACCAATTTGGAAATGGAAAAGTGTGTTAATTTTTTCATACATCTTTAAGACACACATTACTATATTTTTATTAACTGAGCCAGATGGCTCACAGTGAATTTTCTCTGACATAAGTAACCACAGGAATCAGTTTGGGACCCAAATCTGGTCTGGAAAGTGGCATGTTTATTCAGCGGAAAAATGTAATTTGTGTAAACACATGGCTATTTTTAGAAGGAACCTTTGTTATCGTTTGCACTGCATTTTATTGTATTGTTCTAGGCTAAGTACAAGGACCCTTTCCGCCCCCTTTTCTGTCCTCCAGCCTTAAGTATTCAAGTTCCTTTTCAACAGCTAAAACATGTTTTCTTTCTGCAGTTTGAAGGTTGCAAGAAGGCCTTTTCAAGGCTTGAGAATCTCAAGATCCACTTGAGGAGCCACACAGGAGAGAAGCCCTATCTGTGCCAACATCCGGGCTGTCAGAAGGCCTTCAGTAACTCCAGTGACCGTGCCAAGCACCAGAGGACACATCTGGACACTGTAAGGATGGTGCGAGTTTTCCACCTTCCAGCTGCAGCCTGGTGTGCAGAAGGAAGTGACTCTCTTATAATGAGATGGTGCTAGTGTTTGCTTTATGGGTCTGCAGGTTACAGGAACAATGCCAAGGGCAGCAGGAGAATCTGGTACAGGACCCAAAGAGTGCTGTGTGGTGCTTTTTTTTTTTTTTTGTATTTACAAAATATTACAACATTCTTGCGACTTCCTTGGGACTAAGGAGTTACTTGGCTATTTCTGCATACAAAGCAGAAGCAGTTCTGTGGCTGTGTGGTAGATGATACTACAGACAAGGATCGCTAGAGAGCGGACATCAAAATAGGCATTCAACTATCAAGACATAACATTGTTGGCCAAGAAGGTTATTGCTTGAACTATGTGATGTTTTTCATTGTCTCTAGTTCTTTCCTCCTCCTTCCCCCCTCCCCTTATTCTCCTCTTCCCCCTTCCCCTCTACTTCTTTCCCCTCTTTCTCCCTCTTCCCCTCCTCCTACTCCTCCTCCTCCCCCTCCTCTCCCTCTCCCTCTCTTTCTCCATCTCCCCCTCCCTCTCCCTCTGTGTGTGTGGGTGTGTGTACACACATGTGTGCACACGCACATGCACCAACACTGAGTCTTAAACTCAGGGCTTAATCACTGCCTTAGCTTTTTTTCCTCAAAAATGATACTCTACCACTTGAGCCACACTTCTATTCCAGCTTTTTGGTGGTTACTTGAAGATCGGAGTCTCACAGAACTTAGCTACTTGGACTGGCTTCGAAGCACGATCCTCGGATCTCAGCATGCTGGGTAGCTAGATTAGAGGTGTGAGCCTGTATGTAATCTTGATAGAAGAACTTTGCAACTAGCCCAGCTTTTGAGAGTCAGTTTGCTTTTTGTTTGAGAAAGCACCTGCTATTTTTTACCTTTAAGCTATCTGAAAAGAAACAGCAACTCTTGCTCAAGGGTTCAATTGAATTCATCTGTGTTAACAATCTTATATCCTTTGACACAACCGTAGGAGAACAATTGATTTTTATTATCACACTCTTAACTCTCATAATGCTGCTACAATTTGCTCATTCACAAATGCCTTTGCTATGTAACTATTGTCTCTTATTTTTCTGGTTATATTGATAGGCCTCCTCTGCATTTCTTAGGTTTTGATGGATAGTTTCCTTACAGGAGGCCAGATACACGCTATAAAATTTCACTTTGCTTAACAAAGCATCAGGATAAATGTATTATACACATTGCAGATCTCTGATCCACGTGCTTGCAAATAATGTATTCATGACAGTACTTTCTCGGTGTTAACATTCTGATGTCTATTCTTAAACGACACCACAGTTCGAATTCTGAAAAGATGCTGTTATTTCTACCCAAACCTTCTTATACGTACTTAAGATTCTTCTGCTGCTATGGTTAACATATTTATTTTTTGATTAGTCTCTATTAGTCCTGTTGGTAGAAGTCATTTTAGTTAATGTGACATAACCTTTCTAAACAGAGTTAATATCCTAATATACATAAATGGGTGGTTTGTCTGCAAATATCTGTAACACCGAACAATATGGACTTAGGATGGGTTCCTTCGGCTCCAGCTGAATTGAATTCAGTAGTTTTTAGGACAAACAGAATAGAATATTAAATGAATAAATGTGGTGAATAGTGGAATTTTTCGTGCAGATAAAGGACAAAAAAGGAATAAATTATGTTAAAATGCTCCATTTTGTTGTGTCTAAAATGGTCTTGGTAAAATCCAATAAATTTTCCAATTTGTCATTAAAAGTTATCATGGAAGAATGAACATTCATGAGACAGGATTGTCTTGAGAAATTGCTTCCACTCTAGCTAGCTATCTGTAGTTTAAAAGAACTATTGTGAGGGTAAGTGTTATAGTTCCATAATACCCTTCTATGCTGGGTACTAATTTTAGCTAATCAAACAAAGAACATTTTCAAAAATCATTTCTGAATTAAAAAGAAGTCATATCCCATTTTAAAATTATGAGCAGAGCCACCCAAGATAATAATCTTTTATGATTTTTGTTCCATGTAATAGCTCTTGAAGCTCAGCTATTTTTTGGAAAATATATTTGTATTAAATCCTTTAAAACTACTTTTACTTTCCTTTAAGATCCGAACTAGCTCCTGTTTAAATATGTTAAACAAGTTGGTATGCCCTTTTAAAAATCATATGGAAATTAAACTCCAGCAAGCAAGCTATAGTTGCTTAAGGAATTTAGGACTTAAATTTAGGTCCCTACTCCCTTTCATTAATCATTCTTCTGCAAATTCTGTCAGAATTTTGAATAAAGGATCTTTCTTCAACCAAGTAGATTTTTGACTCATAGGAAAATGTTTTGCCATCAAGTTTACTAACTCTACAATTTTAAGTCTGAAATATCCTGTCAACTCATTTCTCCATTAACATCTTTGGTGCTCATGGAAAATACTAAATACTACACTAAATTCTAAAAATACTATAATAAATACTAATACTAAAATACTATACTAAATATTAAAATATTACATATGTTTCATGGCATGTGTATGTGTGCATGTGTGTGTGCACGCCAGTCCTAGAGCTTGAACTCAGAGCCTAGAGCCTAGAGCATTTTTGCTCAAGGTTTGCACTCTACCACTTGAGCCACAGCTCCACTTCTAGCTTTGTGTGTGTGTGTGTGTGTGTGTGTGTGTGTGTGTGTGTGTGTGTGTGTGTTTAATTGAAGATTCTCATAGACTTTTCTGGCCTGCCTGGCTTTTGAACCACCATCCTTAGATCTCAGCCTCCTGAGTAGCTAGGATTACAGGTGTGAGCTACCAGTGCCTTGAAGTCCCTGGTGTTTAATAGCAAGGAGAGAGAGTTAAGGCCAGCTGACCAAGGTTTCTCTATGACTATCTTAAATTAATTAAATACAAAATGACAAAACTTAATACAAAATAATCAACCTAAATCAAGATAACATCAATAACATGTTAATTGATATTTATGAAACCTTATAATATGGTCTGTACCCTGTCATGCTCTAAAACATGAGCTTATGAGTTGCTATTGTGACTTTAGTAAAGATACTGGCTAGTTGCTCCTCTTAATGTCAAGGTAATGTAGGGAAAGGTCAGGCAAGAAAGTTACATAAACTCAGAAAAAAATTTCTCAGGTTAAGAACATCTTTGTTCACCCATTGGAAACTCATGAGCAAGTGACTAGCCAATAATTAGCTCACTGTTTCATAAAAATTGGAGTTAAGAGCTTGAGTCATCCATTGTTCATTGAAAGATTCCTACAACGTAACACAGTGCCCAGCATATACTGGAGACTTCAGACACATTGGTGATTCAATCAGTCAGTAATTGATTGATTAATCAGTTAGTTGATAAGTCAGTCAATGAACATAGGATAGCAAACTTAGAAATTAAATTGAGAAAGTCAAGGTAAGTGATATAGTCATGATTTTACCTTATTGGACTCAATAATGGCCCCAAAATTATAATGAATCATAAATACTGCTTCCAGCAAGGCAAATGTGGAATACAAAAAGACTATCATATCCATGAAAGCAGGAGTTTACCATAAATAGATTAGCTATGACATGTTGTTGTCAATAGTGATAACAAGTTTCTAGAGCAAAAATTCTATTTTTAACATAAGATTTCTGTTGAAAAGACTTCTATTTCACGTCATGCAGGCCCAGATCACATATCTTACTTGATGTGATAAGTAGATCAGTGACAATTAATACATCTTACAAACACAGTTAACCCCGGGATTTTTTCCTACTTCTTAAAGAATAAGCAGAAGGTTTTGATTCATTTTGCAACATTAATCATAGCCTTAAAAACCTTTGATAAGGATTTTGTTATTGTGGTAGTGATAGATGATGATGCTGAAGTTTGAATGGATAGAAGGGGGTCCATCTGTCTGTCCATCTACCCATCCATCCATCCATCCATCTACCCATCCATCCATCCATCTACCCATCCATCCATCCATGTATCCATGTATCCATCTATCCATCCATTTTTTCATTCATTTCTAACTATTATGTACCAGGTACCTGTGATAAAGAAATATATTTGATCCTAGACACAGACACAACCTTAGACAGCACATTTCCTATCTCTCCAGAGTACAGGGGCTCTGAACTGCCTAATCTGTGTCCTCTTTGCTGTAATCCCAGGGCTCATGTGTTCATTTAGACCCAGTACCAGGACTTCTAATATTATTAATGTTCCTCTGACTGATTTTTCATGTGTCCGTTGTTTGAAACCTGTTGTCCGTTGCTTACTTTATGCTAATTTTCTCCTTCTTAATTTTCTCCCTCTCTCTTTCTGAATCAGGTTTCTTCTGAAACATACCCAGTTTTTTCTGGACTTTTCTACAGCTTCTTTACCTGAATCCTTAAAGAATATGTGTTTACTAGTTTTTGACAGTACCAAAGATTGTTCTCAGGGAAACATAACTGTAAGTATGACTGGAGATGCTTACTAATAATTTCTACTTTAAAAAGTGCCACAAGCGTGCAACCTAAAGCAATGTCTTAGCAGCCATCAAGGATAGGATACCTCTTTCTTTCTGGAAAGTTTACTTTTCCAGAAACCATGATGCAAAGTTCCTGGATTTTTTCTCATTAAAATGCATGAGTATTACTCAACATTTCACATCCATCAGTGGGTGACAGTTCATATTCTGATTAGTCCTTTATGATTTAACTACTCTTTTTCTTTCTTTTTTCTTTCTTATGTAGAAACCTTATGCTTGTCAAATTCCAGGATGTACCAAACGCTACACAGACCCAAGTTCCCTAAGAAAACATGTGAAGGCACATTCGTCCAAAGATCAACAAGCAAGGAAAAAGGTAATTTTAAAAGAAAAAATATTACAGCCAGAAAAAGCACATGTACATGACTCTCGCAGGACTCGGGACTTCTGCAAGGCACTGGAAATCATTATACTTCTTAACATGTAAACAGCTTTCGACTGTTGTGAGGAGTGAAATCTTTCAAGAGGGTGAAAATAATAAGGTTATGATTCACTTAGTTGATAGAACCAGACAAGAACTTTTTAGGGGGTGGATAATACGAGACAGAGAAAATGAATGAAAGTAACCTACACCAGGAAGTAACAAAAGGCAGGTATAGGCAATAAACCCAAGGACCTAACCAAAACTGAATTGGGAAGAAGAAACAACGATAAATGAAACACTTCTTGAGAGAAGTACTCTCTTCCTGCCCCGCCCCCCACCAAAATATCAGTTGGCTAGGATGACATCAGCTGTAAGGAAGCAGGTGGGAGAATCTGGGATAAGTACAGAGTTTGTCTCACTTTATTAGAGAAAAAGCAGGTTTCTTGATAGGTTTCTTGTGTGAAAAGTCTGAAAAGGAACTGAACTGAATTCCTTTCACATCAGTGAGGGTTTGAGGTATCTCTCAAAGTTTGTAAGGTTTGTGATCTTTGAAACCTGGAATAAGTGTTAAAGATCAACCAGTTAGTTATTCTGACTCGCACACAATCCAGAAAAGTGTTTGGCGATACTGGGCTTATACACCCCCTAGAGACACCTTGCTTACTCCCCTTCAGGGCATTGCCTAAGAAAACTATGATGTCACATTTGTTTTGAAAAGAAAAAAAAAAGTGTCTTCTGTCCATGTCAGAAAACATGTGGAGATATTTTTGGTTTTGAATGTTCAATTTGCATTGAGATAGATACTTGATACATGCAAGGGCCCTTTATTACAAGGAAAAAAATTAAGAGCAGTATAAGACTATTTCAAATGAGTGAACTGTATGGCAAGGGTATGCAAGTCACCACGGCCTCTAGTTAGAAAACTTGAATTCTTTCATGATTTACTAGGGTTTAACACCTCGTGTTGGGAAATGTTCTCTTGTCTTTTTATTACTTGAATTTTTTTTTCTTCCTTGGAAGGTGTTAGCAGAATGCAAGCTGAGGCCTCATATGTGGAAAGAACTTGACCTTTTCCCCATGAGCTATAAAAAATGTCCTCAGCTAGGAAGATTTGACAGACATGCGTAATTGTATACAAACCCAATCTTGTAAACCGACTGTTAGAATTGTTTTCTCCCCTGTGGAAATATATTTAAATCTCTTTAATTGGAATCCCAGTGAATTGATATCTATGATTACTTGGCCTGGATTGGTATATTCTTGCATTTTAGAAAAGCAAAGGAACTAAGTAAATTAATAGTGTACTTTAAAACAGAAATAAGAATGTGTAACCTTAAGATGACACACCATTGGTGTAATATAATATGAAGTGTTTTAGCAGGATTGTTGTCTAATGTGTTTTTATCATTATCTATGTCTATATTATAAATTTGAAGTAATACGTCGTATCTGTTTAAGACAAAGCCTAGATAAGAAACTTTTTACTCTAAGCCTGACTGTTCTCCACATCCAAGTTGTTTGAAATGTGTGAGGCTTTACTTGGAATACCAGATTTATCAGTAGGATTGGAGAGCATGACATAAAGAGGTGTTACTCCCCAAGTCTAGAGAAATCGTCAACGATATGATGTTTCATTTAAGAAGGAAATGTAACGGGTTATTTTCAGGAATTGTTCATGGCTTTTATTATTCAACTATTTTTTAGCCTTTGTGTGTGTAGAACATTCTTAAAGCATTAACTGGACAAAACCAAGAAAAGAAAAACAGGCCTTGAGATTTGAAAATATAATTTTATTGCCAAAATTTACTAGCACCTTTAAATACTAACCTAGATAACAAAGGTACCCTTTCAAGTGATACCATAATCTCATGTCAAATATTGTAATTCTTTCTTAACTTTGCCTTATACAAAATGAGATTTTGATTTTGCTTTTGGTGTCCACTCTGTATGTCCTGAATATATTTGAATTGGATTTGGTTAACGTTCATCGTCTAGCCCTTAATGATAATTTTTACTTCCCAAAATGTAACCTAATTATTTTTCTAAAAAAATTTTTTATCAGTCTGTGTTGGATTAATTTGTGGAAATTAAAATGATGAAAGTTTCTTCATCCAACAAAAAGAGGAAATGTCACTCCCCGGAGAAGCAGTTGCTAATAAACCTAAACCCAGCCAATCCATAGCTCTAAATCTTGTGCTGATGTACCAGTGTGTTTTATTTACATGGTACAATGTTGTTATTAGACCTTGGAGAGATTCTAATTGCTCACTCACATCAGGATTTGGTATTTGAAATATTTCCTGGCAGGAATGATTTAAAAAAAAAAGAAAGAAACAATAAACCTTTTAAAGCAGAATTAAGATTATTTACGACTTTAATTAAAAATTGAAAACTGGCACCATTTCAAAAAAGCCCTTACAAAAATGTGAATTCATCAAAAAATAACCATAAAAATTCCAAGGTGATAAAGGCACTGAGGAGTAATGGGTCCCAGCCCTAGGGAATTGTTTAGTTGAAAAGAATAAAACTCTTTTCTGTCACACCCTGTTAGTCATGGGCTCATTTAATATACCCCGCCGGCCGGCCTCTAATCCTCTTTTTTTTGCCCTCCCCCAAGACACTAAATGACATTATTTTGGTCTTAGCATTGCTGGCTTTATGAGGACTCATTCTGAACTCGGTGGAAGTGACAAAGCTCTCGGAGGCCTAAGGTTAATGTATGTCAGGAGAGGTAGAGATCTCCTAAGCAATGCCCCATGCCACGGATATGTGGGCCGATTCCACATCTACTGATCTACTGATCCCACTGATCCAACCTGAGATCTGAGCTAAACATTATTCAAGCTGTACCCAGAAAGAAGATAGCAAGGTGTGTGTGTGTGTGTGTGTGTGTGTGTGTGTGTGTGTGTGTGTGTGTGTGTGTGTGTGTGTGTGTGTGTAGAATCTCTTCTGGGAATAATTTGGCTCATTGCATGCAGAGATTAACTTTTCTCTTTGCATAAATCTAGTCCACCTATACATTCCACCAGCCAATGCACAGATTCCTTCCATTGACCGCACTCTGCAGTTCCTGAGTCCATCCAGACAGGGCTACAAAACTAAATGAATGGCCCAATAGTCAACTCACTAGCAATGGTCTCTACTGAAAATAGAATTTAGTCCATAGAGCAAAAGGCAAAAAAAAAAAAAAATTGTCCTTCAATTCTGCCTGATAACAAGCGAGTGAAATGAGAAAAGCCTAAGGCAATAAGCCACTTGAAATTTTCCTCAAGGCTGTGAGCTTTATCAGAATTTTTCATTTTCACCTTGGAAATACCACAGGCAAGGGAGTTTCCTTTAACTCTTACCTGTTATCAAAATGGACTTTTTAAAATGTGAATGCAAGCATTCCCTGTACCCAAGTTAGAGGTGACGAGAATTTTCACCCATTTCTTGCTTTCACAGAGATGCTGAACTTTGAATGTGATTTGTTCCATGTTTGTGAAACACTGACCTTTGAATCTTTGTACTTGATGACGTTGACTCCTGTGATCGCCACATAGGATGTTATAAACCTTGCCTAGCATCTGGAATATGATTGAATATAATGTGTGTGTTTATGTTTTCTACTCAGAGCTTTCTGGCTAAGCATATTTTATTCTGTGTCATTTTCTTCATAAAGAACTGGCAATTCTTGGAAGTTGTTTAAAGTCACCACCTCTCCCCTACAGACACTGAAAATTATAAATAACTTACTAAGTACCATACAGGCTAAGCTGCCTTGAGAAACTATATAAAATAATTATTGTCCCCTCAGTTGAAGAAGCAAAATGACTCATGAAGCTCCTTTTTGCCTATCCGTTGTTTTTTGTCAAGGTCTAATGGTGGGGGGTAGGTGGGATATACAATCAGGTAAAGAATTCACAATTCCTTTTTGTCTGATTTGATTCAACCTTTCTATTCTGGAAAAAAAAAATTAAACCATTCCCATTATTAATACCTGTTTATTTGGCTTGAATATGTTTTGAATATATTACAATGTTGTGTTATGTATTACAAGGTAATTTTGTTTATGTTCTTCCTGAGGACACTTAGCTTGGAAAGAAAAAAAAGAGAGAGAGGAGAGGGAGGAAGGGAGAGAGGAAAGGAAGGAGGGAGGGAGGGAGAGAGGGACAGAAAAGAAGGAGAGGAAGAAGGGAAAGCAGCCAACCAAGTTAAGAATACCCACCACTAACAGATGCTTGAATGACCAGTTTTGACTGGACAGTACCTAACACAGTTCCCTTATGGAAGTAGTTTTCTAGATAGTTGTTTTACATATTGATTGACTAACAGAAGCCTTTGGAGCTTCCAAGTCATTTTCTTTTACTGAGGAAAACAAAACTGGAATAAAATCATTTGGCCCAGACTCTGCTGTCTAAAATCTTGTGTCCTTAGGACATCAGGACCTCAGTTCACCATTGCCCTGTTCAGTATCCACGTTTTGTCTTCACTTGCAAAGAATTCATGTCCCTTGTCCCTCAGGCAATTACTGCTAGTTTCTTTTTCCTTCTTTTTTCAGTTTCCTTTGAGTTTTGTCTTTGATATCCCTCGGCAATATTTTCCCATTTGTTTGTATCTTGGCTCTCTGAGCTGTGAAGATTTATTTTCAGGGTGACTTCACACAAGGGCTTGGATAAGCCTAATGTAAAAACTTTTCTGGGTAGATCCTGGGCAGGTGGTTGTGTTGTTCTGTTTGGATTGGACATCGGGAGGTATGGCTGCTTTTAAGCAATGCCATGAATTGCATCGTGACTAAGCTTAAGTTACATTCCCCTGATTTTTCCATTTCCCTATGTTTGCAGCTAGCTTGACAAGCAAACCCAGGGCTTCAGAGGTGAGAAAGGAGCTATTTCCGTAGAAAATATTGTTACATCACGTAACTGAAGTCCACAGCAGCCCAGTATGACTGACCACGGACCAACAGCGTCCTT